TTTTTTTTTTTTTTTTTTTTTTTTTTTTTTTTTTTTTTTTTTGACTACTGATTTGGACTAAGAAAATTACTTATGAAATATGTTACCCTTCATGGACTAGGGAATAAATTGGTATTGAGACATAGGTGGGAGGGTGGTAGAAGGCCTTGGCTGTTATATCTGCTGCCTCATGCATTTAACTATTTTCTTACAGTTTTTACTGGTATTAGAGAGGTATTGAAGCTGTGAAGGATTAAGAACACTTTCTGAATTCTTGGCCTCTCCACCGTCTAATTAGGTTGATTGGAGTGTCTTCCCTCTTCTTGCCAGAGCCGAAAAATTGTTTTATCAGACAATTATGGATCCTTTTCGTGTTTAATATATCAGAAGAGAGGAAGTATTTAAACATCAAAATCTTTTAAGAGACTTAAAAAAAAAATAATTTAAAGTAAGTTATCTGTTTAGTTTTTTTATATAATTGGGAAGGGGATAGGGATTTTGCTGTGTGTATGCGATACATAGCAGTGACTCCTGGTGGGTGGGATTGGAGGGTGGGAATGTGTGAGGGTGGGTGGGAGGGTAGGTTTTTGGTGAGGAGTTCTGAAATAGGCTCAGGCCACTTGAAGTGTCAGAATTTTAAGTGTGTGTGTAAGTGTGGATATGTGTGTTTTAAGTGTGTGTGTTTAAAAATCATGTTTTATCTTCTCCTTCCTGTCCCTTACCATTTTCATTTCCCAACAGTCTACTAGAGAAGAACATGGTTGGCCTTGAGAACATAAAGGAAGAGGCATGTATTTGACATGGTCTTTTCCCCTTTCTTTATGTTATAATTGAGTAGTAGCCCTCTAATTTCTAGCTTGGGCAAGTGCAGCCAGTACCCTGACTCTTCATTAGGAGAACTTCCTTTTTACCCCATTTTTTGTTTTTGTGCAAAACAGAGATGGGGTTGAGGAAGGAGGGTTGGCGAGCAAGGCCAGCTTCTGCCCTACAGAATTGGGTGTGTCTTTATTTCAAGTGAGGCTTTGGGAAAGTGTTCAAATGAGAGCAGTCTTAGGGTCTCTAAGAGATGGGGAATGTACTATGTATATCCTGCCTGTGAAAGCCCAAACCATATGGGAGAAACTAGAGGATATTAAAAACAATGAAATTGTGATTTGGAAGTTTTAGAACATTGTTTTTTAAATTACATTATAAATGTAAGATACGCTTTTTATCTGTATATCTGAAGGGGAACAGCTGCATCCTCGTTTTTGCAGCCATTATGACTTGAGATTGGAGCTTATGAATTTAACAGTACTGGTACCATGAGAGTGAGCAAGCCTAGCCAGTGAATACTATTATGTTTAGATTGTTCATCTTTGGTAGCTTTAGATTCTTGATACAGGTTCTTAAGATTTCTGAGTCCTTTATAAAAATAGATCAAGAGTCCTGTTATGAAGGCTTGATTATCCCATATATTAGGAGTGAACATTTTTTATAAATCTTTCAGGAAATCTTGGCTAGAAAGAATTCTAAGTTAGCCATCTAACTACTGAAAACTACCTAGCCAAAGATCATTTGATGGGATATTCTTTGATTTTCATTGTATTTTTTTTTGCTCTGAAAAAGATGGTGCAATTTGAGTTTGTCTTTGTGATTTGATTACAGCTTCCTTCATGCCAAGTATTTTTTAAGAAGAGGTTGAATTCTTTTCATTTCGAAGTCATAGGGAGACAGGAGTTGTGCTGCTACTTGCCAGGAACAGGTTGGGAAGAAATTGTGACTGTTGGAATTGATGATGTACTGGCCTAACATAGAAAGGAATTTGTAGGCAGGAGTAAACGTTAACTGACGGTGGGTTAGTGCTCTGCATCTTGCATATTTGAACTGTCTAGAGTTCCTGCCATTGTTGGGTATAAAATGAGGAGCTCTCTGCTGACCTGTAAATCATTAATACTTCTTGACTTGGAATGTCACCTCACTTTATAGATGACATTTTCCTCTTTCCCCTTGGTATTTTCTGTGTTGTGTTAGATAATTAATTGGTAATACATAGTTGTGGTTTAGTACGTTTAGGCCTTCTATTTATTTAGATATTGTTTGGTGAAGTCTGTTTCCAAAAGGGAATGTGCCGTTTAGTCTGCATCTGTATCTTTGTGGAATTGATGATCACTGGCTTGATTTTGAAAAATGTTTTTTCCAGCTTTTAATATTTTCTAATCACATGCACTCCTTTACCACAGAGGCACATAATCATTTGGCCTCATAGCAGTTCTCCATGGCTATACTGTAGTAAAGTTTCTTAGAACTTTGTCAGGCGTTAACTAGGAAAAAGTGGTTACTAGGGCCTAAGAGCTGCTTTGTGCTATGTAGTCAGGCCTTTGCACTAGTAGATCATTGCTGACATGGATCAGCTTAGAAACCTTTCTGTGTTAATGCCTCCTAGTACTGTCTTAAGATACCTACAGTGTCTGTTTTTAGATCTATGCATTTGTCATGAAGTTCCTTGTGGGCTCTACATGAAGCTGCTGCTTTGTTTTTAGGTTAACAGATGTGCCTGTCAAATAGCATGTGTATTGTCCAAATTCCATAAACTTAAAGTTTTTAAGGGCTGTGTGGTTTCTGAGCTCTATGTGTCTTTCCTATCTTTGTACCTTCAAAGGGTGAGAAATGAGATTTATACATCCAAAGTTAGCCTGGTAAACATGGCTTTTTGTTTCTTCATTTAATGTAGACTGTCAAAAATAAGTGATGGTGATAAGTAGGCCCGGAGCCTCCACTTCTTTAAATCTCATTCCTGAAATTTTGCTAGACTCTCATGTTGGCAAAAACAAATACCTGTGGATTGTCCTTAAGGTTTTTAATCAGATACCTGTGTTGTTAGCTGAACTGTAGTGGAGCATTGATCTAAAGCCAAATCCGTCTTCTGAAATATCAGTTATGCTTTTGGGTTTAGAAAATACTTAGGTGTTAGTCTAGTCTTCCCATTCATGAATCAGTGTGTGTGCATATCAGAGAGCCTCAACTTCTTTTTTCTTCCTTTTTAAAAATGATTTTAGTGTTTTGATTTAGTGTATACTGAATAGTTCAGTATTATTGGCTTTACCAGTGTTGACAGAAAAATTTTAAATCTCCAGTTGCAAACAGCAATGGATTAGGACATGGAAATAAAATCATGGTGACATCACTGGTGAGTTATCTTAAACCTCTGCTACTTAATTCTCCATATTGAAATGCGTGCTACTCCTCATACCTTGCTTTTGGACAAAGGCAATTATAGAGGGGCCCTGTCTATCCCAGTATGGTTGGATTTTAAACATATGTTTCCGTTATTTTGGGAACTGATTAATATTAAAATTTTTTTGTTTATGAGTTGTTTTGATACTAATATTAGGAAAAGAGAATCTAGAACATTTTGAAGTTCGAATACAAATTTTATTCTTTTGTGCTTGGGAGAATTTAAGCAGTCTATGCAACTCATCAAATGTGAGAAATAGCCCTCCAAGGTTCCAGTAAGCTTTCAGTGACTTTGATACCTCCCCAAATTTCTTGAGTTGCTGCTTGTTAACACCCAGCGTTTAACTGAGTGTTTGCTCCTGATGGGTTAGATGTTCATGTTGTATCACACTGTCAGGTTTTATTTTGCCCTTTTATCAATTTGTGGATGTGAGTTTGAAACAAGCACGGTACAGTAATCCTGCCTAATAGAGTGGTCTGGAATGAAGATGATTTTTTGAGTGGGAGAGTTCTCCATTTTAATGTGTCTAAAGTTTTTGATATGAAGTTGGCATTGGAAAAGGGAGGTAAAGAAAAAGGATGTTTACTAAAAGCAGTGTCTGCTCTTCCTCTGTATGAGTGTGTATTCATGTCTAATGAAAAAAATTGAGAAAGACTCTTGGGTTTTGTGTTGCCATAATATGCATGGAGAGGGATGCTTGACAGCATGCTAATTGAAGCCAGAGCAAGTATGTCCTTCATTAGGTAATCAGTAACTATTCAGTTGAAGCTAACTGATTAGTTGTTGATCATAATATAATTGGTTGCAAAGTGGAAGTGCTGGCTGGCTTAAGTACCCAAAGAAAAGAATGCAGCAGCCTAACTTAGTGTTACCCTGTTACTAAATTTGAAACTGACCTTTTTTCCCCACCCTACTTCACACACCCTAAAACTGTTTTCTTGTCAGACCAAAGAGCAAAAGAAGAAAAAAAAAAAAAGTAAAACACTTTACCAATCTATGTCACTCAGGTACGATTTTGTGGTGAGATTTTCGTCTGTTCTCTTTGTATTGCTCTTAAGAGTCCTTTCTCAGCATATTATTCTGCCATTGCCTCTGTCCTCCTTGGGGAACCTCAGCTCTAGATGCTACCCCTGGGGTATTTACTGCTGTTATGCGAATGATAGGATGTAAGTGACCGTTATAGTAAGGGCTCTTTGTAAAAAATTCAAAAAATTTAAAAAGGATGTATACATTTTATAGTCTGGCTATCAAGTTTGATATCTTGCTGTCAAGTATGTTTCTCAATCTGTATTTATCCATCCCATCAATAAATGTTAACGTTAAAACACTCATTTGATTGTTGTTTATGTGTACTCTCCTCGGATTAGTCCTTAGTCTTTGTCATTTGATTGATACGTTTACAATTTTATTTCAATTTTGATACTAGTATGTTTTCTTATTGTGCAAGATCCCATGGGAATTGAGTCCGTTGGAAAGACCCAAGATTTGTCCATCAGTGAACCCAGTAGTATAAAGTATATTGTAGTCAAAGGTGGGGGGGAACCCTCATTCTATATTGTTACATGAATACCTGGAAGAGTAACTTGTACACAAAAAAAATTGTAGCACTAACATGATGGCAACATATACTGCTTATC